ATTATGTGTTTCGAGTTCAAGAACCGTGCTTAATAACTGAACCCTGATTAGTTAAGTTGATTTGCATTCATTGATCTCCTGAAAATCACCCTAGACCTATCCTTTATCACATCGAATTTACAACTGTTTTCATCGCTGCTTTATTTATTTCTGTCGCATTGCTATTTGTTTCGCATACTTCGGCTTAGCGTAACTCCATCTACACAAGGTTTATTGAGTGAGCTCTAGTCTCTGTGGTTCGACCCCTAGATACTACAACTGCACATCTGTGCTCTTGCAGAATAGCTTAGGGATTAAACTTTGAGCAGATCAAGTTTTGGCGCCGTTGCCGGGGACTTGATTTCGCCATTAAACCTAGTTTTTGAGTTTCGACTAAGTTTTTCGACTTAGTGTCGAGCGACACCACTTGTGGTATCGCGCGACACCTTTCTTTTTATAACCTAGTTTACTTATTTCGTTTTCTCTCTTTGTTTTTGGTGTTTCAGGTTTATGCATACTCGTGGAACCAGAAGCAACAAGGACATCCCGCTAGTGACTTTGAGCAACGAAGAACTAGCTGAGTTAGAGCGAACGAACAGGAAAGCAAGAGATCCGGCAATGATGGACAACGCCAATGGACTTGTTCGTGATGATGATGGAATCTGGAGAGACCAAGAGGGTCATGTGTGCAATGCGAGAGGCCAAAGGCTTGATGGAGATGGCAACATCATTCCACCAGCACCTTTACCAGTGGATGTTGTTGACCAGAATCCACCACCTGCACCGCGTGGGAATGCTGTGATCGTTCCAAATCAGAGGAACGTTCCAGAGGATCGGAATGTGAGTGAACCTGCACCTGCAGCTGGTCGGTGACGAACACTTGGAGACTATAACAGGCCTGAGCAGTTCTATGCAAATCGTTCTGCGATTCGCGCCCCTGCGTTTCAAAGAAACGATTTTGAACTGAAGCCTGTGTACTACACTCTTGTGGGTCAGCATCCTTTCCATGGCCACTCTCATGAGCACTCTATGGATCACATTGAAAGGTTTGAGGACTTGGTCACCAGCATCAAATACAATGGAGTGTCCAACGATTTCCTCCTCTGCAAGCTGTTTCCTTATTCTCTAGCTGGAGAAGCGGCTAACTGGTTGAAGCAGTTGGAGCCAGGATCACTCACCACTTGGGAAGAGACCAGGAATGCTTTCCTGCACAACTTCTTCGATGATGCTAGATCTGAGGAGTTGAGGACGAAAATTTCGACTTTCTCTCAGGAACCAACTGAAGCGTTCAAAGCTTCTTGGGTGCGATTCAAATCGTACCAGCGAGACTGTCCCCATCATGGCTTCAGCGATGTGAAGTTGCTGGGTATCTTCTTCAGAGGCATCGACTGGAGGTATCAGATGGCACTTGATGCAGCAAGCAATGGTAACTTCAACACCAGATACCCAGAAGAAGCTGTTCAGCTCATCGAAAATTTGGCATCCAGCAATAGCACCAAAAATGCAGATCTTGAGCGAAAGAAGCAAGCTGGGAATATGGATAGATCGCAGATCGCTGAGGTGAAAGCTAAACTTGACTCTGTGCACAGCCTTTTAGTGGGTAAGAAGTCTGTCAGATTCGTACAGGAAGTGGAGAGTTTCGAACCTAAGGATGAAGCTGAGGAAGAAGATGTCAACTTTGTCAGTGGATCAGGATTTCAGGGTCAGAGGTTTGGTAATCAGCAAGGTAACAGAAGCTACAGTGGGAATTACAGTGGAAATAATCAGAGGAGTACCTTCAACAGTAATCAGAACTTCTCTGGTTACACGCCTAAGCCTCAGTACCAGAAGCCCTTTTCCAACAACAGTTTCTCCAGAAATTACAGCACTCCTTCATCTCAACCTCAAAATCCTGACAATGAGATGAAGTCTATGCTGGAACAAATTTTGGAAGGTCAGCAGAAGCTCACTGTGGACTTCAATGGGAAGATGGATGCTCTCTACCTTGATCTGAATGGGAAAATCGAAGCTCTGAACACCCATGTCAAGCAGCTCGATACCCAGGTTGCTCAAACTGCAGGTTCTGTTGAAAGGCAAGAAGGTTTTCTTCCTGGGAAGACTGACACCAATCCAAGGCATCAATGCAGTGCTATCACGTTGAGGAGTGGTAAAAGACGCCTCCTGCACCTGAAGTCGTGGATTTGGAAAACCCTGAAGAAGTTCATGAGATTGCAGAGCCGGTGTCGAGCGACACCACCACTAGTGTCGCGCGTCACCAATTGCAGAGCAAAGCTGTTGATGCTCCGAATCCGAAATCTGCAGAGGAGAAGGCCTACAAACCTAAAGTTCCTTACCCAAGGAGCCCTAGCAAGTCCAAGCAAGAGCTTGATGAAGCACGATGCAAGGCCCTGATGGAAAATCTTGTGATTGAGATTCCCTTGGTTGATGCTGTAAAGATCACTCCTGTTATCAGACGTTATGTGAAGCGAATGGTGACTAATAATCTCAGCCATGAACAAGGAGTGATGATGATTTCTGAGGAAGTCAGTGCAGTGGTTCAGAACCGAATCCCAGAGAAGCTGTCTGATCCAGGAAGCTTTGTCTTGGATTGCTCTATCTTCACAGAGAGATTCAAGAGATCGCTGTGTGATCTGGGTTCAAGTGTTAACCTCATGCCTTATTCAGTGGCTGTCAATCTCGGTATGACTGACTTCAAGCCAACAAGGATATCTCTCATCCTAGCTGATCGTTTGACAAGGATACCTGAAGGGGTGCTAGAAGATGTTCCAATAAAAGTTGGAGACTGCATGATACCGACTGACTTTGTGGTTCTGGAGTATGGAGAGGAGCCTAAGGATCCTCTTATCCTTGGGAGACCTTTTCTAGCTACAGCAGGTGCTATCATCGATGTCAGGAAAAGCAGGATTGCTCTGAATGTTGGAGATCTGGTGATGAACTTTGACATGGACAAGCTGATGAAGAAGCCCACCATTGATGGTCAGACCTTCTATGTCGACACTCTCACAGAGTTTGCTGAGGAGATTTTCCATGAGATGCTGCCTACAGACCCACTTGAGAGAGCTGTGACCACGTCTGCATCTAGAGCTGAACACTTGGACGAAATTTCAGCATCTTACTCGAAGATTTTGGACTCCAGCGAGCATGTGATGCAGCTAACATCACAGATTGAACAGCTTGAGACTCCTGCGAAGGTGAAGCAGCTATCCGACTGGAGTGAGGAGAAAGCGCCCAAGATTGAGTTCACACAACTCCCTGCAGGGCTAAGGTACGCATTCCTAGGCTCTAATTCTACTTATCCAGTCATTATCAACTCTTCCTTGAACAATGCTGAGGTTACCTTACTACTGAGCAAGCTTCGCAAGCATCGCAAAGCTTTTGGCTATTCTCTTGATGATATTTCAGGTATCTCACCAGACTTGTGCATGCATCGAATTCACCTGGAGGATGAGTCGAAGTCATCGATCGAACACAAGCGCAGGTTGAACCCTAACCTGAAGGACGTCGTCAAAAAGGAGATCATGAAGCTGCTGGAAGCTGGAATCATCTCTCCAATTTCAGATAGTGCTTGGGTCAGTCCTGTGCACGTGGTTCCATACGGCACCTTCGCATATCGTAGGATGCCCTTTGGACTTTGTAATGCTCCTGCGACATTTCAGAGATGTATGATGTCTATCTTCACTGACATGATTGAGGATTTCATGGAGGTCTTTATGGATGATTTCTCAGTTTACGGATCATCTTTTAAGGACTGTCTGGATAATCTCTGCAAAGTTCTGGCTCGCTGTGAAGAGAAGCACTTGGTCCTTAACTGGGAAAAGTGTCACTTTATGGTCAGAGATGGGATTGTGCTTGGGCACAAGGTTTCTGCAGCTGGCATCGAAGTTAATCACGCGAAGATTGACGTCATGACGAGCTTGCCACCACCTGATTCTGCGAAATCGGTTAGAAGCTTTCTGGGTCATGCAGGGTTCTATCGTCGCTTCATCAAAGACTTCAGCAAGATTGCACGTCCTCTTACTTCTCTGCTATGCAAGGATGCTAAGTTTGAGTTTACAGATGAGTGTCTTGCTGCGTTCGAACATATCAAACATGCTCTGATAAGCGCCCCTATCGTGCAGCCTCTTGACTGGAATTTGCCTTTTGAGTTGATGTGTGATGCTAGTGATTTTGCTGTTGGTGCTGTTCTAGGTCAGAAGAAGGACAAAAAGCTTCATGCAGTCTACTATGCCAGTCGAACTCTGGATGATGCTCAAAGGAATTATGCTACTACTGAGAAGGAGCTGTTGGCTGTGGTCTTTGCTTTTGAGAAATTTCGACCATACCTTGTGGGATCGAAGGTGATTGTGCACACAGATCATTCTGCACTCAAATACTTGATGCAGAAGAAGGATGCAAAGCCGAGATTACTGCGATGGGTGTTACTCCTTCAAGAGTTCGATATTGAGGTCAAGGACAAGAAGGGTGTTGAGAATGGTGTGGCAGATCACCTCTCCCGCATCAGGGTTGAAGACGACGTACCCATAGACGATTTCCTACCAGAAGAGAATGTATACTATGTGGAAACCGAGTTTCAAAGCAGGTTTGACGAAGAATTGCAGGTTTTTCGAATTGGAGAAACGTTAGTGACGAGCGACACCACCACTAGTGTCGCGCGTCACCCTGCTCAGCTGAACACAGAGACCTCTCGAATTCGAAGCAGACTTCCTGAGATCAGTTCAGCTGCTGTATCTGCCACCCAACGTCCTTGGTATGCTGATATTGCCAACTATCTCGCTGCTGAGGCTGAGCCTGAGAACTTTAAGGGCTATGCAAAGAAGAAGTTCCTGAGAGAGCTGCGAAGATACCACTGGGATGAACCATATCTGTACAAGCACTGTTCCAATGGGATTTAAAGAAGATGCATTGCAGAGTCCGAAATTCCAGAGGTGCTGTTTCATTGTCATGGATCCGAATATGCTGGACACTTTGCGACATTCAAAACAGTATCTAAGGTTCTTCAAGCAGGCTTTTGGTGGCCTACCATGTTTCGCGACGCACATGCCTTCATCTCGCAGTGCGATGCTTGTCAGAGGAGAGGAAAGATCAGCAAAAGACATGAGATGCCACAGAATTTCATCCTTGAGGTTGAGGTATTCGATTGCTGGGGTATCGATTTCATGGGTCCTTTTCCCTCTTCTTATGGGAACAAGTACATCCTGGTCGCTGTTGATTATGTCTCAAAGTGGGTCGAAGCCATTGCCAGTCCCACCAACGATTCCTCAGTGGTTCTTAAGATGTTCAAGACCATCATCTTTCCTCGTTTTGGAGTGCCTCGAGTTGTTATAAGTGATGGTGGTTCTCACTTCATTAACAAGATTTTCGAGAAACTCCTCATGAAACATGGAGTTCATCATCGAGTTGCAACTCCTTATCACCCTCAGACAAGTGGACAGGTCGAAGTCTCGAATCGTCAGATTAAGGAGATCCTGGAGAAGACAGTGGGTAAAACTAGAAAGGACTGGGCTGCGAAGTTGGACGATGCACTCTGGGCGTACAGGACAGCGTTCAAAACACCTCTAGGCACCACAACTTTCCACCTGCTCTATGGAAAGCCCTGTCACCTTCCAGTGGAGATCGAACACAAGGCAGCCTGGGCGATAAAGCTAATGAATTTCGACATCAAGTCTGCTGCAGAAAGGAGATTGATACAGCTGAATGAGTTGGACGAAATCAGGCACCACGCCTATGAGAATTCAAAGTTGTACAAAGAGAGGACCAAGGCGTATCACGATTCAAAAATCCTCTCCAGGAAATTCGAACCGAATGATCAGGTACTTCTGTATAACTCTCGTTTGCAATTGTTTCCTGGTAAACTTCGTTCTCGATGGTCAGGTCCTTTCATAGTCAAAGAGGTTCGCCCCTATGGTGCCATCGTCCTCCTCACACCAGATGGCAGCAGGGAGTTCACAGTGAATGGACAAAGGGTGAAGCATTACTGGGCCAAAGCTGAGATTCCGGATGGACATATTGTTCCTCTGGATGGTGCACCTCCTGCCTGAATCACCGTCAAGTCAAGCTAATGACTTTAAACAAGCGCTTGGTGGAAGGCAATCCACTGGTGAGTCTGTACATAAGTCCTTTGTTTCAGTTGATTTTTGTTTTTCTTTTTCGTGTTTTAGGTGAAACAGGGCTGGTGTCGAGCGACACCATACTCGGTGTCGCCTGTCACTTTCTATTAAAAAAAAAAAAAAAAAAAAAAATTAGGAAATCAGAAAACCGGAGTCAAACCAGAAATTCGGATTGGTCTGCTGCAATTTGGTACGAAGAGAACAAGTGTCACACGGCACCATCATCAGTGTCGCGCGACACCATCATTGCAGCCAGGTAAGTTCTCCGTTTTTCCTGTGTTTCTCTGTTTCTTTTCTTTTGTTTCGCCGTTTCTTTTCTTTTGTTTCGCCACCTTCAGATTAGATAACACTGGGGACAGTGTTATTCAAGTCTAGGGGAGGTAGTTGCTGACATTGTGTTTGCTTTTTCTTAAGAGTCAGTTGTGTCAAAACGTTTATGAGTCAAAACTTGTTGGCGATTATGATGCTTTTCCTGGAACTATTGTGCTGACCTTTCATCTAAGTGACCACTGCTGCAGATTCAGTCTAGATCCGACTAATGAAAAATCCAAAGGCTGACCAGCTGACTAGAGGCGTCCATGTTTCCAACAGAATCCACTAACCTGAGCTAAGTTCTGAACTTCATTTTTAACTCGTTGATGTGACTAATGCCTTAGAGCTTGATTCCTCATTCGTACTTGATCAATGAAACCCTGTGTGAAATTTAATGTTGGTATTTCTCCCCCTTGTGACGAGCTAAGAAAAAGAAGAAAGAAAGAAAAAGGGCAAAAAGATTGAGATGATTTTCGCTTAGGGAGTGAAGGGCTAGGAATGTTTCCAATGATCCCATTATTTCGCTTCTATGTTGGAATGATCACACAAAGGAAGGAAGTGAGAGGTAGGAATGTTTCCCATGACCCCACTATTCGCTGAAAACCTTTGATACAAAGTAAGGGGACAACTCGGGGACTCGATGGCAAACACCATCAGTACTCGCAGCTTTACTCTTATCGAGTATGCGCCATAAAAAAAGAGAAAAGAAAAAAGATGATGAATGTGCGAAAAGAATAAGTCTGGGGGAGAGAAAAAGTACCAAAGTTTGTATGGCTGATTTGTTTGAGTACAGAATGGGAAAGAGTCTAGAAGGTTCTTGGCATCTGAATCATCAGTGAGATCCAGCGATGAGGGTTTATGGACAATATTGTGGAATTTTGGAATTAATCTGGAAAACTGTGAATGTCTGCGAAGAAGTACATGGTGGTTCGATTTGGAATGATGAAGCAGTAGTTGAGTTGCAGGGCGATTGGTCAAAAGCGATGTTCCAATGAAAGGTTGAGTCTCTGCGTTTTCAAACCTCTTTCTCTTATTTGGTGTTCTGTTTGCTTGAGGGCAAGCAAATGCTAAGTCTGGGGGAGTTGATATATCATGGTTTTTATGGTTTTTAACCATGGTATAGGTCTTATTTATAGAGTCTTTTTAGTGTCTTTCGAGTCTTTTGGAGTCTTTTCAGGTCATAGGTACGTTTGGAGCTTAGCTGGAGACTTTGGAGCACTTTGGAGCTTAATAAGGATCAAATTCGTCAAGAATGGATTTTGTGCTTTAGTGACACTCGACACCATGGAGGGTGACGCTCGACACTTGTCAGAGAAATAAGGAAAAGGCGATTTTGTTTCCTATTTGAAGAAAGAGTTGGGCCTAAACGTTTTCAAGGAAGCCCAAAACGTGTCTTAGAGATATATATAGGATTTTTATTCCCTTTTTACGATAACCTTAGATTTTTGAGAGAGAGAGATACTCTGAGTTTTTGGCTTTTGCGATTTCTGAGCTTGGGGAGACAAGTCTGAACTCTTTTCGTTTAGAGAGAAGATTTCGAACCCCTTTATCTATTTTGATTTAATCTATTGCTTTCTATTCATCATGTTTGTTGTTTCAATAACCATGTCTGAGTAGATCACCTGTTAGGTTTAGGGTTAATTAGGGTTTTCTTTGAATGTTTTATTAACTTGCTAGTTAGGGTTCATATCTGTTAGTTCTTCATCTTAGGTTGTTCTTAAAGCTAATTCTGGATTGATCACCTAGAACTTAGATCTTAGGTTGCTTGATTGACACGGAAGTGTAATTGAATAACTGGAAAGAACCTGAGTTGAGCAAAGTAAATATTCGCAAAGGAATTTGGTTTAGGAGCTTTGTGAACATATCGAACTTGTGCAATTAAGGCTGGTTTAAATCTGTAGGATTTGCAAAGGAATTTGGAATTCTAGGATTTTAACTTAGATAATTCTCACAACGGAAGTTGGTTAATTATAATTCTGTGTTTCGAGTTCAAGAACCGTGCTTAATAACTGAACCCTGATTAGTTAAGTTGATTTGCATTCATTGATCTCCTGAAAATCACCCTAGACCTATCCTTTATCACATCGAATTTACAACTGTTTTCATCGCTGCTTTATTTATTTCTGTCGCATTGCTATTTGTTTCGCATACTTCGGCTTAGCGTAACTCCATCTACACAAGGTTTATTGAGTGATCTCTAGTCTCTGTGGTTCGACCCCTAGATACTACAACTGCACATCTGTGCTCTTGCAGAGTAGCTTAGGGATTAAACTTTGAGCAGATCAATCTCTATCTGTTGAAACTTAGCCAGATAATCAGGTGTTTCTGGTTCAGTTTTCTTGATCCTCTTTGATCCCTCTTCAATGATGCCTTGGGAACCACCAGCTGAGCTGCTTGAGTCACTTTCGGTCTGTTCACTCTCATATACCACAGCCAACTGTTTCCCTTTCTTCTTGGAACCAGAAGCAACCACCAAAGCTTTCCCTTCATGCCTTGTCTTTTTCGGCGCTTGATCACATTTTCCTTGCTTTGTGATTTTCTTTGCTCCTTGACCTTTTTCTCTTGGCTGTGAAGACCCTGAGACCAAACCCTTGCCCTTGGATGCAGTGCCCTTCTTCTTGGCTAGAGAGTTGGTTCTTTCAGTCATCTGCCAAGAGATTCTCAAAAACAATGTTAGCACAAGATCAAGTTTCACAAAGTTCTTCAAAATTTTGAAAACAATTTGTTGCAAGAATCGATTTCAAAAGCACATGAACAAGTTTCTCAAGCCAAGCATCAGTCCAATAAGTTCATAGCAATGCAAAAACAAGAGTGCAAAGCAAGGACTCAGCAAGAAGCAAGTTCATCTCTTTTTTAAGAAGAAAAATCGATTTTTCAAGAATTAACTTGCAACAATTTTCAAAACTCTAGAACAAGGAATCACCAACAAAGTGCTCTGTTTTCCAAGACTATCTAGCACCATAGCATTTATAAAAACAATCCCAAGGTCTAAAACAACCTATCAAAATCGATTCCACACCTTGAAGTTCAAAAATCATCATTGAAGAACATGGAAAAAGATGAATTTTAACAGAGTGAAATACCTTGGGATTATGATGCAACGAGTTCGAAATGAAATCAGGATGATGTTAACAACTCAAAAACGAGCTCAGAGCACTTTGAATCAACGAATTCGATGGAGAAATGAGAGAGTTATGATGAAAACAATGGAGAGAAATGAGAGAGGAGGTGCAAACTCGTGCTTTTGGTGAGGAAGAGAGAGTGTGGGGCAGGGTCAAGCCTTTGGACTGGTGGTCAATAGATCTATTTTGACCAGTCAAGGCTTTGACCTGTCCTTTTCTCGTTGACCGGCCTCCTTTCTCTCCTTGTGCGACCTGGAAACGTCGTGACCGAGCCGCACGACCAACTCGGTGTAGAACGGACTTTTTTGTTGTGCGACTTGGTCCTTCCTCTTTCTGTCCCACATGCCCAGACCGCACTAAATCTCTTCTGTACAGCTTAATCCCTTCTTCCATGTGTGGCCTGGTTTCATTGTTCCTAGGTAGCATGACCAAGTAGGTGTGAATTGTGATCGTTTGTGCGACTTGGTCTTTCAAGCTTCCAGGTCGCATGACCATGTCGCACAATTTTGGGACTTAGTCGCCTCTGGCTCCTTCTTTTTTTTTTTATTGCGGCCTGGCTCACAACCACCAGCTAGCACGACCAACACGGTGTGAATTGCGGATCACCGTGCGGCCTAGCTTCCTCTGGTTTCAGACCGCAGCACCAACTCGCAGGATTCTGCACTTAGACACTTTGGGCTTCTCTTCATTTTGTGCGGCTTGGGTTCTCGATCTTCAGCTAGCATGACCAGGTCGGTGTGATTTGCGAGTGGAGGTGCGCCTTGGTCCCTTCTTGAATCATGTCGCATGACCGTGTAGCAGGTTTGGACACTTAGTCACCTCGGCCCTTCCTCTCTTATATGCGGCCTGGTTGTATTTGTTCCCAGGTCGCAGGACCAACCCATTGTGAATCGCGAATGGACGTGCAGCTTGGTCTCCTCTCTTCTGACCCGCAGCACCAACTCGCATAATCTGGGACTTAAACACTCGGGCACCTTCTCTTGCTGTGCGCCTTGATCCTTCTTGGTCCTTCTCGCACGCCCAGGCCGGTGTGAATTGCGAGTCTTCATGCGGCCTGGGCTCCTCTTATCTGATCCGCACGCCTAACCCGCAAGCTTTAACACTTAGTCAACTCAGAGTCCCCTCGTTTTATGTGCGGCCTGGTCCTCTTGCTCCAGGTAGCACGACCAAACCGCTGTAGATTGCGAGTCCTGCTGCGAGTTGGTCTTTTCTTGATTCAAGCCGCACACCCAGGTAGCACTCAGGCGTCCTCCAAGTTTTTCAGACCTTAAACACTTATCTCAGCCTTCTTACAAGCTCCATTCTATTTGTCATTGAGCCATGGCCTCCAAAGATCACCTAGAACCTGAGACCAACTCACAAAACCCATCAAAAAGTTCTAAAACATAAAAGAAAGAAAAGAAATCAAAAGAAATATGTACAAGGATAAGCTTGGGGTGTCTCCCAAGAGCACTGTGTTTAAAGTCTCGAAGTTTGACTTTGGAAACCTGTTTAACA